TTGGTAAATGTAACAAAAGCTATAAAACTGCAGCTGGGAAAATAGCCAAGAAATAAAAGAACCTCGTAATTATTTTTACAAGATATTTATATCTTCTTGCTGCTATTGTAATTTGGGGAAAAAAGACATATCGTACTACAGTATTTGTAATAGTGAGAGATGACTCAATGTCAAAGAGTAAAGAAATAGCTAAACAAACTACAATATATTAATCACGGTAGACCTTCTGGCTATAAAAAATGTAAAAAAGGAAAATTATTTTAATATATGGGATATGCTGTTAAATAAAATAGTAGAAGGTAAAATAAATGCTGATTAGACTTATGCAATCAAAAGTTAAAAGGGAATATATGGGATTGGAAATGGTTAAAATCTGTTACTCATTAGGTTATATCTTCTGAGAAAATGTTTTAATTGCTTAAAAAAATTTATTGAAAAGTAAAACTGGCACCAATCTTCATCGTCAGACAATACTTTAACTAAAAGATCTGTATGACCAGGAAAAAAAAAAATGTATATTTTAGATTTCTATGTTTCCTTCCCTAGCCTTATACTAAATAAAGTACTTTTAATATAGTCTCTCCTTAGCTTTTAAGAAGAGTAAAAGTACTGGTAGATCTAGACCCTTTTATGGTGCAATCAAGCATAGTAAACATTCCTAAATCATAACTGGCCCACACCTGTCTCAATGTCTCCTTTGCCCCACAAACAAACAGAAAAGCTACAGGTGAGAGATGGTTGGTCACAGCTGGGAGTTCCCTCTTGTCTTCCTGCTATGGGTGGGAACAGGCAACCAGTTTCCTGGAGGAGGAGCCGCCTGCCTGAAAAGTCATGCACCCAGAACACTGGACAAAGAAGCTGGTTAAAAACAAAAGAAAATTTATGGCTTCAAGTCAAATGAATGCTAGTAATGATTTTTAAAATAATTTAAAACTTAACTCATTTAGGACCTTGCCCATAGACTGCAGAGAAGGGAAATGGCATTGAAGCAAAAGCCTGGTCTACAAATAATTTCTCAACTGTTCTACTTTTAGTCATCTAAAGACCTAAACTTTATCCAGAACTCAGTATAGAATTCCAGTTCAAAAGGAAAAAAAAAATAGTGATATATCAAACAATAAAATAGGTTGGCAGTTATGTACAAGATGGTTTTGGTTTTGTTATAAGTTTTGAAAGTGTATATATACAACAAAATATTATCAGTGATTGTTCAAGGTAGCAAAATTAGGGACAGATTTTTTCTTCTTTTTCTTTATCTGTGTTATTGATTTTTCTTTACAGTGAACATGTATTAGTTGTATAACTATAAAATTCTTCAAGATGCAAAAATAGATGTAAAATTTGTAAAAACACAACCTTTATCAACTGACTTTAGTTTTGTGCATCCAAAATACAATAAGCACAAAGCACTTAAGAATCTTTCATTGTTTTTTGAGACACATAAATTACTTGTGTTTAGTGCTGACTATATTTCATTGTAGTTTTTAAATTTTCTTACAACTGTTCATCATGTAAAACATATGTGAGAAATTCCTTTCAACTCAAATAATTTGTTGATCAAAATAATCCATTTCCTAAACCTATCAGATAACAGCAGTATTCACGTGGTACCTTCTCACAACACAAAATACTTATTTACTTCTCCCCATATTAGCTTTCTCTTTCCTTTTAGGAACACCAACGGTCCATAACTTCCATCATAAGCCAGTATCTAAACGCTGTGGCTTTCAATTTATAAGGAATAAGGATTTTCTTTTACTCAATTCAACTGAATAAAGACATAAGGAGTTTTGAACCTGAGGAAGTACCTCACAAAAGCCTCCAAAACTGAATTTGAGTCAGAAATGTACCACAATAACAGGGAAAACATTAATAAGGGCAGCCTGAAGAGCCCTGCCTGTGTCCAGAATGCTGAGATCACCAGTTGATACTACTCCACCTGCTGTGCCATTCTGCTTCTCCAGGTGGCCTCGAGGAAGCTTTTAGTAGGAAAACCCAAGAGACCACAAGAAGAAACCACAGGTGACACAAACAAGGATATAAGGTTATGGTCAGGTGACACCTAATACAACTTCTGCATGCAGATGTTTTTGTCTTTGCCCTGTGGCCAGGGGATTAATCCTTTTCCCTTCTCAAAGAATCACAGGCTGTTCGCAGGATTCGGAATTTTAGTGGTCTCAGAGTTAGCAACCACATGCAGATACTTTCCTTTACTGAAAATCTAAGAGACATCTTAAATAAACACATCTTATGGCATAAGAGTATAGCTACTGGGCGCGGTGGCTCAAGCCTGTGGTCCCAGCACTTTGGGAGGCCGAGACGGGCGGATGGCGGGGTCAGGAGATCGAGACTATCCTGGCTAAACCGGTGAAACCCTGTCTCTACTAAAAAACAAAAAAAAAAAACAAAAAATAACTAGCGCGCGAGGTGTGCGGGCCGCCTGTAGTCCCCGGCTGCCTCGGAGGCTGAGGCAGGAGAAACGGCGTGAACCCGGGAGGCGCGAGCTTGCAGTGAGCTGAGATCCGGCCACTGCTCTCAGACAGGGCGACAGAGGAGAACTCGGTCTCAAAAAAAAAAAAAAAAAGAAGTATAGCTACAATTCAATTATTTATTATCTATGCTACCAGTATATTTTGTGTTGAGGCGGGGGGTGCGTGGGTGGGTAGAATGGAGTGATATAAAATACCAGTAACACTTGATATGGTTTGGCTGTGTGTCCCCATGCAAATTTCATCTCGAATTGTAATCCCCATGTGTTGGAGGAGAGGCCCGATGAGAAGTGATTGAATCATGGGGGTGGACTTCCCGGTTGCTGTTTTCATGATAGTGAGTTTTCACCAGATCTGATGGTTTAAAAGTGTGTGGCACTTCCTCTCTCTCCCTCTCTCCTGGTCTGCCATGGTTAAGATGTGTTTGTTTCCCCTTTGCCTTCCGCCATGATTTTAAGTTTCCTGAGGCCTCTCAGCCATGCTTACTATACAGCCTGCAGAACTGTGAGTCAATTAAATCTCTTTTATTCATAAATTACCCAGTCTCAGGTAGTTCTTTATAGCAGTGTAAGAACGGACTAATACAATACTGATGATTAAAACCTCAAATAATTCAAAGATTCTAACAAGTAGCAAGTAAACTTGAGTTTCAACCCCTTTGTCAGTTCCTGATTGAATTTTACAATTAGCTAATAAGAGCAAAGATCAGAAGAGAAAATGCTTGTGTAAGATCATCCATAATAGATACACTGCTCCTGAAAGATATGTGTACACCCAAAATTTGAAAAGCAGTTCTAGACTCAGCTTTCCCAAGAATTTTTGATGGGTATCAGGAATCTTGCCCAAGAAAACCAGGGCAATATTTTGTGATCTTTCCATAATTCATGGAAAGAGCCTCCACAGATAGGTTAATTACATATTTCTATGAAACATTACTTAGTTAATATGGCCCCCTAGGAGTCCAGAGTTAAAGTCATTATTGTGAGAATATATGGCCTACAGATAAAGCAAAATCAGCCTTCTGTTCTCCCCCAGCCCCCATTTATAGCTACTCATTAGTAATATTGTGTATTTTAGTGCTGTCTGCCCTGAAGACCTGAGGCTGATTTGATACTATTGGTATGTTTTTCTCTTTCCTCCTCTCTCCTTTCCACAGAAAAATCAAGGTTCACAGAGGTTTTATATTTTCCATATAACCTATTAGAGTCAAACTAGGTGGAAAACTAAGAACATCCACTCAACATGCAAACACTGTAAAGGCATGGCTATTCCTGTGGCCCTTTCCAGGAAGAAAAATCCACGTGACTCTCCCTGAACCATTAGTGCAGGCAAAGCTGTCAGTGCAGAATACTCATTTTGCTCACTTTTAAAAGTCAGTTTTAATCAGAAAGTCTGAATACTGTACTCTGATCTGAACACCCTTATGTGATTCACTAAGTCTTGAGAAGTTCTCAGTCCTCAAATAACTAAGAAAATGGGACTATTTCTGGCCCATTAGCAGAGTCATAGAATGAAATCCTTGTCTTACCCCTATCATGACTGGCCCATTCTCTTAGGCAGTGAGACCCATTGTGGGATGGTGGCATGTCACCTGGTTCACAATATTTATGTCCCTGAAATGTTTCCCTAGTTGACACCAAAGGATAAGAATTCACTAGAAGCTAATTGTATTCTGGGACACAAACAGCAAAAACCTTCAAATCCTGTAAGATTAATAATTATAGTTTTCAAAAAGTGATGGTACAGAAATACCTGCTAGAACTTGCTAGATTTGGGAGTGTTCACTGTTCTAAAAAGGAGACAAGGAAAGGAAAAAGGGAAGGAAAGAAAGAAAAGAGAGTACATGGAAGAACTAGACACTTTCAAAATAGTCGCGGTTTTGGCCCCAATACGCATTTGAAAAATACTTCTCCTTACTTGTCTTGGTATTTTCTTTTTAAATTGAGAACTAATTTACATACAGTAAGGCCTTTACAAAACACACAAGTCTTAAAAGTAGAAGAGAGAGGGCATCATCAGGCTGCACAGACCAGATGCTGAAGTGCTGAGCAGGAAATGGCAGCAGTGGCCACAGCAATCAGGGTAGCATGAGAAGCACTGGGCTCCTGCAGTCTACCCTAAGGGAGGTGCATTCCTGTCAGCCTTCAATGGCCTTCACCATGTGCTGGCACCTGCTGTGCACCAGTCCACCCATCCAAGCTGTTGCCAAGGAGCTTTTCCTGGGCAAAATTGAGAAGGGAGCACAACAAAGGTTCTTGCCCACAGCTCTCCCCATCCCTCTGCCTACTGACCCCCACTGGTGCTTCCCTGTGTGGCCCTGCATGTTGTGTGCCTGTCCTCTTGGGAACTGTGGGCAACAAATTATCTTTTCAGTTGCACAATACTTGTTTCCTGACCTGTTGGCCTTACTATACCTCAAATTTTATGTCAACCCACAATATTTAGACCAGCATGAATGACAAGACACTTTGGACACTTAAGGGTGAACAAATGAAGAACATATGAACTGTGCACCTTTTCCCAATGTTCTTAACCAGTTTTGTAGGTGAAAGCATAAGAGTTTCTTTCAGGTGATGGGAAAGGCTAGTGACTGTTGGGTGGGATCCACTGAAGGCAAAGACTTCACTCTGATGATGGAGCCCTGCATCAAGTTTCCTGTAGCCCAGGACTCAGTACCAGGCCATGGTATCATCAAATTGTTGTTCTAACAAGGACTGGATGTGGTCTGTCTCATATCCCATGGACACCATGAGCTCTGTCTTTCAGGAGTCCTGGTGATCAGAAAGCAGCTCCTGGAATGACTTTCGTGTCTCCTCCTGACCAGTGTTGATCCATAGGTGTTCCATGATGTGGTCTAGTATAGGCCTCTCCCTGTAGTCAAAAATAGGTTGATGAAGCTCTCTGGAAATGAAGAGCGAAGAGTGGGATCTTGTAAAATTGTTCACACAGTATCAGCTTTCTCAGCTCCACAAAGTCTGCCCAATAAATGGCAGGCCCTGGTTACCGTGGTATAAAGAATGACTTTCCAGCTTCACATGTCCACTGGGGCCCATCATATGCTTGGCCATGGAAGAGTTCAGGACCACATAAGAGGGACTCCCACCGAAGGTGCCCAGCTTCTGGCCTACAGTGAACCTGGTATCAAATCCAAAGGCTGTTATTTTTATGTTGTGATGGACCACAAGGAAATTCTTGGGCTTTAGGTCCCTATGGATATCCCCCTTCTGTTGGTGGTACTAGAGGGCTGATACTATCTGCTGGAATTTGCTTCAGGCCTCTTCTGCCTTCATGTAACCCAACTCTAGGATGTAGCGGACCAGCTCTGCTCTGCTGGCATACTCCGTGGCTAAGAACAAAGTGTCTGTGGTGTCGAAAGAGCCTGATGACCTTGGGGTCACCCCATGGAATAGACTCTAGAGGGAGGAGGAGTTCTGCTGCCCTTTTGGGATGACCACAGCCACCTTGGTCCCAGTGAGAAGGCACTTGGTGAACTTCATTCACCTTGGTGAAGCTGTCCTGGCTGACGATCTCGAGGAGCCTATAATGATCAGTAAGGGTCTCCTCATCAGCAGAGATGGTCGTAAGGCCCTGCTGCATGGTAAATTTCTAGCTACAAATCCTAACTAGGAATGCTAACCAAGAATGCTACCTATAAAAACGTTGCTAATTGTGAAAACGAAAGAGCACAGCTGGAGTTGCTCTGCAGACTTTTGTGTGTGACCTATGGGTCACTCCAGTGCCAGCGACTATGTGCAAGGCCAACTTCACCTGGTCGGTAGCTGGGTGCTGGATAACGGCACCAGGAACCACCTCTGCCAACCTCTTGGCTCTGCTTACTTCCCACTATGTTGGTGTCATTCTTGGGTGGGCTTTCCCTTCACGGTGACAAGATGGCACCAACCACTCCAGCAACCTAACAGAAATTAAGCTTCTCTTCACCCAGGGTTCCAACCTGGAGATCTGACCTTCTGCACGGGATTGGTTACGTGCCCAGACCTCAGCCAATCACTATGGCTGAAGAGAATGGGCTCTGCTGATTGGCCAGGTTGAGGTCATGTGGCCTCTATCTCCAAGGGAACTTGGCAGCCGCTCACCTGCTTCCAGTGGGAGAGGGTGTGACACCTAAGAGAGCAGGTTCAGGGTTGAGCCTTAGTCCTCTGTTCATTTCCTGGATATGCCTGCTCACGTCTTCCCATGCCACTGTCTTCTGTGTACACAAGAACCCATGGCAACATTTCCCCCCCTCTCCTGCCGCCTCCTTCACAGGCCCCATTTCACGCCTAATACAAAGGAGCAGGGCTTCCTGCTTGAAGGTAGGATTTGGGGTTCACTCCCAGCTTCAAGGCCTGCTGCTGTGTCCTGTTGTAATCAGCCAGTCAGTGAGCACCTACCATGTGCCAAACCCTTCTAGGTGCTGATCCAGGGATCAACAGGCCTGATGACATTGCTGTCCTCAAGGAGCTGACACTGCAGCGTGAGTGGGCACATTCAGAGGACAAATTCCGATCAGTGTTCCCTCTTCCAGCACACATTCTCTGAGGTCCTACTGCATGCTCCAGATGTGGAAGCACAGCAGGGAGTGAAGCAGGCAGAGGTCTGCATTCTTGTGGGATGATAGCCTAGCGGGGGAGACAGAGAAAACAAAAGTAAAACATAAACAAAGCTAATTAACCTGAGCCCAGGTCATCAATCTGTTGAATTCAGCAAATTGTATTCCAATGATTCAATATGGAAACAGAGACCCTGGCTAAGTGATGGCTCATTCTTGGAGACCCAGCTCAGATGTCACCTTCTTTATGAGGCCCTGCTGGATCCTCACCACTCCCCCAGGCCCTTTTGCCTAACTTGGGATCCCTCAGTGCTGTGATCACACTTTGAAGTCCTCTCTAGCCTGTGAGTTGTGTGAGGACGCTGAGGTAGACGCAGAAAGGGGCTCAGGATGTGATGATGAGTAAAGTCTGAGATGAAAGGATCAACCCCCACCCCCCACCCCCACCCACCCCCCAAAAAAAGTAGAAAATAGGAGTCAAGCTTGGTAGCTAGAGATCAGGAAGTGTTATTTTCACATCATGAAGGAGGAATAGTCAGATCAATACTTTTTAATCCAACTCAGTGACTTCATTGTGACCAAATTTAGTAGAAATTTGATAAAGTTTACTGCATGGTTCCAGTTAGATTTTTCCAATTCATGAGTGATAGTAGCATTACACACACACACACACACACACACACACACACACACCTCACCTCTCCATAAGCCTGATTCCTTCAGAGCTCTGTCTGAGTTTCAGTTCCAGACAGCATCAGAGCTTCTAACTTGACTGGAATTAGTTTATGTGACTTCAATTGGACATAATTCTATTTAATGACATAATAGCTAATGATTGTTACACACAAGAGATAGTTAAATAGTCTTTTTCATTTGAAGTGAGAAACCCAGACATCTTTCTTGTATGGAAGCATAATGAAAATTATTTAGCTGTATCAATAAATTTTTAGCAGCACCTTTTTAATCGACTAGATTTCTTTGCTTTCTGCATAGATGGAAATTTAAGTGGACTGTATATTTTGAATGGTGTTAAAAATAATAATACCAAATGTTTACTGAGGATCTACTATGTGCCAGACATTTTCTATGAACTTTGTTCAGGTATAAATTCATTTTATCCTCTCAGAAAACCCATTTTCTATTGGTATTATTTCCATCTTACAAATGACAAAACTAAGAAGTTGAAGGTCTTGTCCAAATCAGGACAGGAGCCAGGCAATCTAGCTTCATTGCCATGAGCTTAAGTACTTACATTATCAACCTTTCCTTAAGCATTTTAAATTTTTTTTGATGTTGACAAACCCAAGTGTACACAGCAGCACTGCTATGCAAAACAGCTTGTACAGAGATTGAATTTACACTCTGGATTCAGTGCCACTATGAACTTAGATGGTCGTGACAGGAATGAAGTAATTTGATTACAAAACCAGGCCAGACATGATGGCTCACACCTGTAATCCAGCACTTTAGGAGGCTGAGGCAGGTGGATCTCTTGAGGCCAAGAGTTCGAAATCAGTCTGGTGAACATGGCAAAGCCCCTTCTCAACTAAAAATACAAAAATTAGGCCGGGCACAATGGCTCACGCCTGTAATCCCAGCACTTTGGGAGGCCGAGGCAGGCAGATCACCTAAGGTCAGGAGTTTGAGATCAGCCTGGCCAACATGGTGAAACCCCATATCTACTAAAAATACTAAAATTAGGGCTGGGTGTGGCGGCTCACGCCTGTAATCCTAGCACTTTGGGAGGTTGAGGTGGGTGGATCACCAGAGGTCAGGAGTTGGAGACCAGCCTGGCCAACATGGCGAAACCCTGTCTCTACTAAAAATACAAAAAATTAGCTGGGCCTGTAATCCCAGCTACTTGGAAGGCTGAGGCAGGAGAATCACTTGAACCTGGGAGGCGGAGGTTGCAGGGAGCCTGGGCAATGAGCAAAACTCCATCTCAAAAAACAAAAAACAAGGCCGGGCGCGGTGGCTCAAGCCTGTAATCCCAGCACTTTGGGAGGCCGAGACAGGCGGATCACGAGGTCAGGAGATCGAGACCATCCTGGCTAACACGGTGAAACCCCGTCTCTATAAAAAATGCAACAAACTAGCCGGGCGAGGTGGCGGGCGCCTGTAGTCCCAACTACACGGGAGGCTGAGGCAGGAGAATGGCGTAAACCCGGGTGGCGGAGCTTGCAGTGAGCTAAGATCCGGCCACTGCACTCCAGCCCCGGCGACAGAGCAAGACTCCGTCTCAAAAAAAAAAAAAAACCAAAAAACAAAAAACAAAAACAAACAAACAAAACCTAAAATTAGTTGGATGTGGTGGCACATGCCTGTAATCCCAGCTAATCCAGAGGCTGAGACAGGGGAATAGCTTGAACTTGGGAGGTGGAGGTTGCAGTGAGCCAAGACTGCACTCAAGCCTGGGCGATAGAGCAACACTCTGTCTCAAAAAAAATTAAAAAAAAAAAAATTAGCTGGGTGTGATGGCTCACGCTTATAATCCCAGTTACTAAGGGGGCTGAGGCATGAGAATTGTTGGTCCCGGAAGGTGGAGGTTGCAGTGAGTTGAGATCATGCCACTGCACTCCAGCCTGGGCAACAGAACGAGACTTTGCCAAAAAAAAGAAAAAAAAATTGACGAAACCAGGGTATTTTGAGGGTGAGAGGAAATGGAGAAACTCTTTTACATCTTACCTAATTCTCAATTCTTATCAACTAAATCAGCCCCACCAACAAAGTTTTTTTCCTCACTGTATACATCCAATCCAATGGATAACACCTTATTGAGTCAACATTCCTGATATTCCCAATATGAAACTAAGATAATACAATAGTTTCACTGATCTCTGCTTCTAGTTTATCTTCTTTACTGCAGCAAGAAGAATCTTTTTTTCACCCCAGCTTATATGTCACTCTCCTGCATTAAACCTTCAATGGCTTCCTATTGCCTGGATCAGTGGCTCTCAGATTTATACAGGAACTTAATGTGGTGATAGTTGCATAAGTGTGATTATACTAAAAATCATTGAATTGTACATTTAAAATAGGTGAATTGTATTATATGTGTAAAGTTACTTTTTTAAAATGTATAGGGGGAGCTGGACATGATGGCTCATATCTGTAATCCCAGCACTTTGGGAGGCTGAGGCTGGAGGATTGCTTAAGCTCAGGAGTTCATGACCAGCTTGGGCAACATAGTGAGACTTCATCTCTACAAAAAAATAAAAAAATTAGCTGGGTGCAGCGGTGTGTGCCTATAGTTCCAGCTACTCCAGAAGCTGAGGTGGGAGGATGGCTTGAGTCTGGGAGGTCAAGACTGCAGTGAGTTGAGATTGCGTCACTGCACTCCAGCCTGGGTGGCGGCGGGACACCATGTCTCAACAACAACAAAAAAGATGTACAGGTGCCAGATGTGGTGGCTTACACGTGTAATCTCAGTGCTTTGCAAAGCTGAGACCAGGAGTTTGAGACCCAGCCTGGACAACATAGCCTGGGTAACAAAGAGACCTTGTCTCTTAAAAAAAAAAAAAAAAGAAAAGAAAAAATAGCTGAGTCTGATGGTGTATACCTATAGTCCCAGCTACTAGAGAGGCTGAGGTGTGAGGATCTCTTGAGCCCACGACTTTGAAGTTACGGTGAGCTATGATGGCAACACTGCAGTCTAGCCTGGGTTACCAAGTGAGACCCTGCCTCAAAAAACCCAAAAATGTATAGAGGAATCAAGGCATCTGGAATTCACAGCATGCTATGTGTAACACACTGAAATGTTGAACTATAAGCAATTTTACTATCATAAAATAAGACTACAGTATATATACTTAATATTTACAGTACATTTATTACACTAAAATTCACTACTTTATGACTACAACAAAAAGTGTTGAGCAACTTTTGCATCCATCACTGAAGCGAGAGTGGCCAAAGTGAAATTCAGTGCTTTCGTGACTTCTAACTGAAGCAAGAACTGCAAAAGGCATTTCAATGCACTTTCCTACATTTGCAAGAAGATTATGTCTTCCCCTCTTTCCAAAGAGCTAAGACAGAAGTATGATGTTTGATCCATGACCATCCGGAAGGATGATGAAGTTCAGACTGTGCAAGGACATTATAAAGGTCAGCAAATTGGCAACGTACTCAAGGTTTACAGGAAGAAAGATGTCATCTACACTGAATGGGTGCAGCAGCAAAAGGCTAATGGTACAACTGTCCCTGTAGGCATTCACCCCAGAAAAGTGATTATCACTAGGCTAAAAGTAGACAAAGACCATAAAAAAAATCCATGAACAGAAAGTCAAATCTTGCCAAGTAGGAAAGAAAAAGGGCAAATACAAGAAAGAAACAATTGAGAAGATACAGGAATAAATGAATCTATATACAAGCTTTCATACAACTGCTAAAATGAAAAAAAAAAAGTGTTGAGCTAAGCTTATCAACAATTTCTAACGTTTGCTTTTAAAATGAAATTGCCATTTGTTAACTTACTTTGTTGCTTACCACTATGTGCTAGCAAATAAGCATTAACCACACTGAAGACCTAAGAAAATTTTGAAAGAGAAACTTTAAGCACATTTAATCTAACACTTTGATATATTTTTTGTCTTCAAATTAAGACTTCAGGAAAACATCTTGATTTGGAATAACACTAAGTTTTTCTGGGAGGAGTTTTCACAATCCTTGGCTTCCTAGAAAATGCCTATATTTCCTAAGGTCAAAAAGACCCTTCTTTCAACCTAGTCCTAAATGACCTTTCTAGCTTCGTGTCTTTCTGCACTGCCTCACTTCTGCCACGTTATGTGGCTCAGTATCCTCAAACCACTCTGTGGCTTTGGTCAGGTCCCTTCCCTCTCCTGGGATATTCTTCCAGAACTCTTTCTCCACTTCACCCTTCAAAGCTTATCTAACTTCCTTTTTGCCTCCTGACTTCCCCAATCCAGAAAAGCATCATCAGAGCAGGAAATAGGTATATTCTACTAAATGTTGTATTTCCAGCATAACCAAAGAGACTGGCACATGGAAAATGCTTCATAAACGTCCCCTTCTCTGAATTCCCAGAGTCTTGACACACATACATATCTGTGCACTTACCTCACTGTGCTAGAAGCAATTTTCAGTGACCCAACCCTTACATCTCCTTCCCCAGTAGACTGTGAGCTCTTGAAGGCAGAAATTGTGTCTTTATCACACAGTAGATGCTCCATAAATATCTGGAAATCTAGATGAATTGAAAACATATTCACTAATCTCCAGATGTCCAAAATCTTCAGGAATATTGAGACATACAATTTACTTGAATACTATGTGGCAAAAATTGTAAATGAGGTATGTACACAGTATTATAAGAATTCTGATGAAGGAGCTATACAGCTTCCACCTTGGAGGTGTTTGTCCTAGAATCTTCATATAGGCTATGACATTTGAACTACCCTTTGAGGAATAAGATTACCAGGAAAATAGCAAAAAGAGTTTTTAAGTAAAAGAAATTCAGCACAAGACAGAAACTGAGAGTTTAGGGCCACCAGCATCCCAATAGGTCTGATGTAGCTTAAGTTTGGGGTTCATGGCAGGGAGTGGCTGGCAGAAAGCTGGGAAAGTATGCTAGTCCTGGCATCCCTCCTGGCCTGGACTTTACAACATGAGTAAGAAGGTGTCAGGATCAGATCTGTGTTTTAATCACCTCTCTACACCCTCTTCTCCCCTGACTCCTCCCCAACATACCATATTGACCATGTAAAAGAGTTGATCAGAGGCAGGTATGAGGGACATGATGAATCATCATAAGAATCAACTTGAGACTTAGGATTGTGTTCTAACCAGTGAACAATCAGCCACACTAGTGCTATGTAAATCACACACTGAAGCAGAAGTCAAGAATGTGGTAGAACTAACACAGCTGGTTTCTTGGGAAAGTTAGTATCATTCAATTAAAAGATTCCTGGCCTCTATGAAGCCCTACCTGATTTTTCCAGCCCAAAAGGATCTCTCTCTGTCTGTTTCTCTTTCTCTCTCTCTGTTTTTTTCTCTCTCTGTTTCTCCTTCTCTCTCTCTGTTTCTTTCTCCTTCTCTCCCTCTCCCTCTCCCTCTCCCTTTCCCTCTCCCTCTCTCTCTCCTGAAACAAGTGCTCTCTCCAGAGCATGTATTTTGTACTTATGACACTTTGAAAATTTTTTCTTGCATTGCTGCTGTTTGTCCTCATTTCTGGTACTATCTTTCTTTTCTCTTTGCCTCATTTTACAAGCTTATTTTCTGATATAATGCAGCTTTAAAAGACATCATGGGAGCAAGATAGGTAGAGGTCAGGCACAGTGGCTCACGCCTGTAATCCCAGCACCTTGGGAATATTGAAACATACAACTTATCACTTAAGGTCAGGAGTTCGAGACTAGCCTGGCCAACATGGTGAAACCCCATCTCTACCAAAAATACAAAAATTAGCCGGGAGTGGTGGTGGTTGCCTGTAATCCCAGCTACATGGGAGGCCAAGGCAGAAGAATTGCTTGAACCTGGTAGGCAAAGGTTGCAGTGAGTGGGGATCACGTCACTGCTCTTCAGTCTGAGCAACTTTCAGCCTGAACTTTTTTTGAGACTCTGTCTCAAAAAAAAAAAAAAAAAAAAGCTAGGGTATAAAGCAATCAATAATAAATATTGTTAGATTTTAAATTTCAAGATGGGAGGGGTCATCTCCCACTCACCTTTATAAATCCCACAGCACTACACAAAACACATCTGTTGAATAAATTGATGTAGTAATAACAATATGCTAAAGTAAAAACAGTCATTGGATTTTTTTAAAAGTTGACATTTTTTCCTTGAAATATCACTAGCTTACTAGTAGTTTACAATGTTTACTAGTTTACTAGAGTATTTGCATAGTTGTCTATCATGTATTCTTTCAAATTTTCATCTCTTCAAACTGTGTCCCATCTGTGGTTACCATTTTTCTTGCTTTGATTTGACAAAGTTTCATCGCTTATATAGGTCTTTAGGGAAAAAAGCTCCTAGATTTATTTATTATGCTTATTTTTCTAGCAGAAGAGATATATTTATTTCAGCAAAATCATAAAGTAAAAAATCAAAGAAACAATATTTGGCATTCGCTGAGACACAATTTTGTAAAGAAAGAAACAGTAATCAGCATAAGTACAATAAATTAGGAAGATCTACTGATCTTTTAATTGGGGAAAATAACCAGAAGAAACACAAAAAGACTTAAAATACAGCATCATTGCCACATCTCATGAAAACATTCCCATAAAAAATTAACAATTTCCACTTGAACATGTATTTCAGCCCTCTTTGAACTTATTCTGAAATCTTGATGTTCTACTGATGTTTATAGACTAGACATTCTCTCACTCCATGAACTCACAAGTTATCAGTCCCTTCAAAAGCAATTAAAAAGGAGCACTTCATGTTAGATATAGAGTACTTAAAGGCTAATATTTAATCTTAATTGGCAACAACTTTAGTGCAAATAAAATTATATTTAGCAGCTTAGATAGTCCTGGTAAAGATGCATTCTCTTAACCCTTACTGTTTCCCCAGAGTGAAGTCATTTCTCTCTTTTTATGAGTACAAACGTTGGCCATTCAAACCTACTGAAAACTAGTAATGATAATTCTGTTTGTTACACAGGGAGTTTCCATGAAAGATGGTTTCAGTCACTATGCAAATGAGCCACATGGTTTTTACATTTGGAAAGTTCCCTTTGGGTTGATACAAAAAAGCAGGGCCTGAATGACAGTCATTCCTCTTGGGAATGGAGTCCAAGTCATAACTGGATCTTACCCAACTTCTTTGATCAGTGAGAAGACCCAAAGGAGGCATTAATCATTTTACCCATTAACCACCATGCAAGGAGTTCAAAATAAGACTTGGGAACAGGGCTGAGGAATCTCTCAAATCGAACTCTACTCTCCAGTAATAATTTTATTTCACTGATTTAAATGCCAAAAAAAAAAAGAAAGAAAAAGAAAGCCATCTGATTTCAAACCTGGTGCTTCCCAGTGTCAGCCAAGATTTATTCTTCAAATGAACAGAAGCCAGAGAGCTAGCCAGAGAGGATTTTGCATGTGCTTCATCAATTCCTCGAATTGCTTCTCTTTTTGTTAGACATCTGTTCCCTCTCTAGCCAAGGCCTGGGACTCCTGCTTCGGGAAACAATATGGCTTACTGTGCCCAGATCCATGGTGGCAAGGGAAAAGTAAGAATGCCTCCTAGATATCAAGCACCTGGCCCTGCCCCTTGTCTAGGTTTCTCCAGTCAAGGACCTTCAGCTTTCAAAAAGCTTGGATGGCCCTCTTGAGGTCCAGGATGTAGTGACATAAGATCCAGGGAGGTCAATGCCATCTCACTCCACCATCCTCTTTACCAACTCTCAGCAGCTTTTCTATTCCCCCTGAATTCTCTCACTGAGTAGGGTGAGGGTGTGCTGCCTGTGTGTTGGACAGAGAGACCCACCTCAGTCACTGTACTCTTCTCTTTCCCTTGGACTGGGGAATTTCTCATACTGGTTGGCCAGTTTCCACTTGTTGTGCTGACTTTTGAGTAGGGCAGCGAAGGAAGTCTTTCGGGTGACACTTCTAGATATTTCCTTGCTCTTGGCCTTTCTGGTCGGGGAAGAACTTCCAACTAAGGGATAGACAGGGAAAATGGGCTTGCCCCGAGGGGCTCCCAACAGCTGCCATATTTCCCCAGAGGTATTACTGGTTAGATACTGCCATGGCTTCTTCCCACTGCTGTCCCTGACATTTACCCGAGAAGCCAACCTTTGCACTAGCAATTTGATGACCCCCTGGTGGCCGTGAATGGCTGCAAGATGCAGCGGGGTATATCCACAACTGGACCTCACATTTACATCAAGGACAATCCCTGCCTTCTTTGCTCCAGAGACCAAGTCCTGAAGAGCCCTGAGGTCCCCATGTTTGGCTATCCAGTGCAAGGCAGTGTACCCAGTCAGAAAGTCTTTGTGCAAGGCCAGTTGAGGGTCCTCCCAGAACAAAGTCCACACCTGAATCCAGGAGCCACTGGCAAGCTTCACAATCCACTCATGCTCCCTGGCATCTAGGGGAACCAGGGATGATTTGTGCTCAGAAGTTCTGTGGGGGGCCCAGGCTGCAGGCCCCTCCCCACTGGGGGCCCACAAGCTGTGTCGCCAACCCCGCTCAGCCACAACAGCCTTAACCTCTGCAAGTTTTGGTGATAAAGCTGCATCAACCCTTGGGCTGGGTGCTGTTCCTGCCTTGGAGGGCTTCCTGGATCGAGGTGGGCGCCGACTTCTTTTCAGCAAGCCCTCATCAAGGTACTCCTCATCAGAGGAGGACAATTTGGCTCTCCCTGCCAGAGAGCTCCTCCTGAGGGACCTCCTTAACTTAGGAGCTGGCCAAGGCAAAGGCTCCAGGGGGTGACCTGCAAGGCCATTAGCCCCCGCAGGAACCTGCTGAGAGATGTGACCATCTCCTCTGTTTCTGAGATCCTGAGGGCTCCAACTGGGGCTGCCCTCCTTCCGAGATACAGAAAGGCCCCCAGCTGGATTCCTGAGCTTCCCCCGAACTGGGGTTCCCAAGACAACCTGCAGCCCCTCTTCAGAAGCCCCCGGTGAGTCTTTGGGCCCGCTGCTGCTCTCCTCACTGCCATGACTCTCCTGGTCCACAAAGTCATCCAGATCTTGGAGGGACAGCTGACATCGAATGCTGCGGAAGACAGTCAATGAAGGGTTCCCCGCCCAGGATTCCCAGGGCTCATCCGGAACAACAGGAAAGAGAGAGTGCGAGGAAAGGCGGGGGTCTGGCGGCTCTGAGTTAGGCTCCGTGGAGCCAGGTTCCAAGGACAGCTGGAGGAAGTTGTCTGGCAGCACCGACCAGGCGCGGACAGGGCCTTGATCACGGGCCTCCGGCACCTGCGGGTGCCTGGCCACCCACTCTCGAGTGCGCTGCTGCTGCTGCTGCAGGGTCGAATAATGCAGAGAGCTGGGGGTCAGCAGCTCCGGCCGGTCTCCGCGTGGGGCGGGGCCGGGCAGGAGAGCAGGCGGGGAAGCCCTGCTCGTCGCAGCCTCGACGGTGGCGAGAGGCGAGCGATGCGTTGCAGGCACAGGCGCGGGCTCAGCCAGCTCGCCTTCTTCCGGCTCCCTGGAAGCCCCGCGGCCATCCTGGGCAGGCAGAGCCCGTGCAGGCTTCTCCTCTGCGGTGGCGGAGTCCGGGAGTGCACCGAGCTCTCCCGGGAGCCCCGCCAGGTTGTTCTGGAGGCATTCCCAGCAGCAGCGGCCCTGTGTCCCCGCCGCCGCGCACCTCGCTCCCGCCTGGGCCCCTGCCGCTGCAGTTGCGGGCACCGGCGCCCTCTGTCCGGGACTGCCCTTCGATCCGCCGCCCTTCCCGGGTGCCGCGCGGGAGCCGCTGACCGGGAGTCCATTGCAAGCTGCGTCGGCGGCTCTGGCTGCTGCACCTGCTGGCTCCTCCTCCGGCTCCTTCTCGCGCCGCCGCCGCCTGGGCTGCTGCTGGGGCGACTGCCCCCCGCGCGCGCCTCGCGGGGAGCTGGGCGCAGCTCCCCCTGCACTGTGGGGGGCCGCGGGCGGCTCGCGGGGTCGCTGCAGCCCCTCCTCCCCTAAAAGGTCCCTGTACCTCCTCTTGAGCACCACGTACTTGGTGCCGTCGGGGTCCTGGCGCACTGCGGCGACCGAGTTGACGAAGCCCTTGAAGAGCTCGCGGCGGTGCTGGTGCTGGCTGGGGGACGCGTCAGGGTCTCGGAGAAAGCTCTTGAAGTGGCTCAGCAAGGCAGCGTTGGTCACGCGGCCCCCAGCCTGGCACAGAAAGTCCAGTAGTGCCTCCTGGCTCAGCTCTCGGGCCATCGCTGCCTTGTCCTCCGCCCCTGAGGTGTCTGCGTCTCGCCCTCCCGGGGCTCTCCCCAGCCAGAGGAAACCCTGGCCGGGCGAGTGTCACCTGCGCCCGGGGCGGCACTAGCCGCCCCCATCAGCAGCGGAGGCCAGCGCTGCCCACAGCCAGTGAGCGCGCCAGGAGGTCCGCGGGTCCCCTGCGGGTGGCCCCAGGACTGAGTCCCCGCGGCAGTCTCAGTGAGAGAGGGCGGCTCCCAGGCCGCACCTGCGCGACTCTAGCCTCTCGCAACGAGTCCCCACCGCGAAAGTTCCCGGGATAGGGCCGAGTCGGTTTCACCTGCGTCCTGGCTGCGCCTCCTCCCTGGCTCTGGGGGAAGGGCCAGGCCCGCCTCCTCGTGTCCCTCCGCCCCCTGAGGTCTCCCCCACCCCCCGCCACCCATCCCAGAAGAGTCAGACCGGAGAGACTACCGGTAGGTGAGGTTGGCGGCGAACCCAGCCGGCAGCAAACCGCTCTGCGGCCGGGGAAGTGGAAGGCAGGTAGGCGATCGGCCGTTCTTCTAAAGTCTCCGCCACGCAGGAAACAAAAGCGATAGAAGGTCTCGTTCCTGTCCTCCGGTGCTTTGATGAGTTCAGGCTGAAGCCGAAGGGGGAGAAGAAGCTGCAAGTTAACAGGCAATTTGACTTATATTTCTTTATTAACGCTGTAGAGGAGTATTTCAGATTTCTCGAGGCTGTATTGAGGTCCGCAAAACTCACTTTGCATCCAAACTAAATTTTTCTTAAGATGGAAATACTTTCTGGGCCGCTTCTCCGGCGCCCCCTCCAAGGGGTCCAAATACATCCAAGTCTATACTGAAAAAAGAAATCACTCTGAAAATTACTGCTGGCCAATACTGGTTTGGGTCTTTTCCCTTCATACTTCTCTTTCCTTCATACTTGTCTCACATTAAGGTGCTGGAAAAATAAAATCACTTTGATAGCTTCTTGCCCCCCCGCGGCTCAAATGAACTAGGAATTATGTCTCGCTAGTTAAGGTATTTGATGTGTATCATTAGTTTGCTTTTATTTACTCTCAAATTTGTGAACAGCAGAGATTTGTAGTGTTTTGTGTTGGCTTGGTGAAGTCCTTCCTTTCAGAATGTAAGGTTCAAAATGCAGGCTAGAGCTGTCTTTAACAGCACCTTTCCCCCCTAACAGCTGGGATCCCTCTTCCTTTTTCTCTCTCTACATGTTGACCCTTTGTCTTTGATGTGAGATCCTGGATGTCCCTCAGTATTTCTTATCAGTCCTGTTGACATGCCTGAGATAGTTTTCACTGTCATTATCTCTTTATCTGTTTTAGTTCCAAGCCTTCTTTCATTCTTTTCTTTAACTTGGCCTTCCCATTTCTTTCTGTTACAAGACATCCTTGTTTACCTTCAGCCTCTACTGACAGGAAATATGTCTATTTCTCAGATCCTCTTATGTCCACTGTATTTCCCATTCAAAAACCTTGATTTTCTCCTTCCCTGTAATTTGCCTCTCTTTTTTCATGGACTCTTTCCATCTTTTCACTTTTCCTTTTGCTCTTCTATTTCTGATTATTCATAGTTCCTATTCTTCTCACCAAGAGAAAGTATTGAAAGTATGTGTGTTGGCCCTACAATTGTTGACAAAGACATGTTTTAGCATGGACCAGTCTTAGTGACTGCCCTATAAACCACATTAACTGAGCTTGATTTTAAATCCCCCAAAATATCCTAGTGCTTCTCCAGGAATGAATCTTTGGCTTTAAATTATCTAGGTCAGAAAAAAAGAACTGGAAACATTTTTGTCTATTTTTGGTATTTTCTAGGATCCAAACCCAGTACTGGGTTGAGAGAGGGATAGTGGTTTCCACTGATGTCTCTACATAACATCAAGCCTTTAGGATAGTTATTAAAATTAAGGTTTTGTATTAAACTTCAGTTTTCTTTTGAATTTATTTGCTGGTATAGAGTCTTGTTGGGACTGAGTAAGGTGAGTCCATACCTAAGGCAGGAGGAAGACCAAATGGAAGACTTAAGTGGGCATTTTAGAATGGCAAGTGGAAAGCATCTGTCTTTGCTACTTTTTAAAACATCTGGTTAGAAAATAAGGGGCTAGCTGCAAAAGAAAGCCATAATGTGGACTGAGGTTTTGACTCAAAGGACGTAGAAAGACTAGAGTGAAAGGAAGTGGAGGTCCAGGTGAGGGGAGATTACAAAGCATACGGTTGTTGAAATCAGATTATTTTTAGTTGAGGGTGGAATTAATAGGATTGGAGTCAACAAGAAAAAAAAAATCTGATTGACTTAGATTTCTGGATTCCCAGGTACTTTGGTGTCCAGACCTTCTCCTCTTTCTCTTGTCCCAGGATAAAGGGATGGTTAATTAGAAACCTCTTTATGTTATCTCAGGGAGCATTTTCCTGCCTCTCGCATATACAGTTCATTATTTCCAAAAATATTTATGAAGCTCCTACATTATCCTGACACTGTTGGAAATGGGTATAAAGAAGAAAGTGTATTTGAGAACTCACTATTTCTCTCTATTTAGTAGCAGCAACAAGAGAAATGGCATGAACCTGAGTGCTAAGTGATTTAACAGAGACATGCACCACATACTGGAGAAGTTGAGAGGAGGTGCATAAAGGAAGAACTCAGGCTCAGTTTGGGGGATCAGGACAATTTTCCATTAAGAGCTAACTTTGGGGCTGGGCACGGTGGCTCACAGCTGCAATCCCAGCACTTAGGGAGGCGGAGGCGGGTTGATCACGAGGTCGGGAGACTGAGACCATCCTGGCTAACAGTGAAACTCCATCTCTACCAAAAATACAAAAAAATTAGCCGGGCGTGGTGGCGGACCCCTGTAGTCCCAGCTACTCGGGAGGCTGAGGCAAGAGAATAGCGTGAACCCGGGAGGCGGAGCTTGCAGTGAGCCGAGATCGCGCCACTGCACTCCAGCCTGGGCAACAGAGCCAGACTCCGTTTCAAAAAAAAAAAAAAAAAAAAAAAGCAAAGAGCTAACTTTGAGTAAAAAGGTGAGAATAGGCTTTAAGGCAGAAAAAACATTGGTGCAAAGGCAAAGATCTGGCCTACCATCGCTATTTGGGGAATGAACTACCAATAGATCTGCTTGGCCTGTTTGGCTTTAAGGAAGACGATGTGTGTGGATGTGCTGGAAAGGGAAAAAGTAGATGGGAATCAGAAGATGAAGGGCTTTGGGGACACGGGCGGCTTGGAAGAATTTTCCCAAGGGTAGCAACCTGACCAGATTTGTACTTTAGAAAGATCTCCTGGAAGTGAGTGTTGGTTTGGAATCATGACTAATATTAATAAGTAAAAAGAGTACATTGTATAACAATGCTGTATGTAACCAAACCTAAGAACCATTGATTGTATGACACATTGTGATTTTAGAGATGTTAAAATATGAAAAAAAAAGTTCCTCCTAAAATAGAATATGGCGTAGAGAAATATGGCATGTGTAATAAGATCCTATTTTTAGAAAAAACTATGTGTATATGTATTTGGGGGTAAAATTTAAGGACTGGATATGGGGTGACTTTAATTTTTTTAAATAGCCTTATAAACTATTTTACAATGAGAATATATTACTTTTTAGTTTGAAAAAGACACTAAAGAAAAAATATCCCATAAATGAATATCAACAAAGAAAGAGACAATATCAAATCTTTAGGCTGTAGGAGGAAGGTGAGGCTGCCCACAGGAAGAATAGTCCAGAAATGACTGAGATGATCTAAGAAAGTGATGAAAAAGGTCTGAGCTCAGCAGTGGGCAAGAAAGGGAGACGAACAGATGTATTGTAGAGGTGTTCAGTGGATACATGTAATAGGATTTGGAGCCAGAGTAGTCTGGGGATGAGAGACCAGATTGGCTTGCTCCCGTGTGTCTTGCTTGAGTGCCTGAATATAGTACCACCCGACCAACCACTGTGTGATTTTCTCCATTAGGGAACAGTATACACTCGGGGGGTAGAGACAGGGAAGGCAGGCACTGGACTGTTCCAGGTTGAGGGTTGGCAGGTTGGGGCATACAAATTAAGCTTCTGGAAGAGGGTAGTGGTATGAATGGATAGTGAAGGAAGTCAGCTCAGAGGGTTAGTGGATGACTGTTACCCATGGGCAATTGTTACCATCCGCCTCAGTAGAAAATATAAAAGTAGTCATTATTGGAAATGGGAAAGATGATCAATTCAGTTTGGACATATTAAGTTTGAGGTGCCTATGGGCCATAAAGATAGAAATATCTAGAAGGCAGTTGGTAATATAGGTTCGAGGCTCAAGGATGTGTGGTATTAGCATCTATAAATAATGGTCATTTAAACCACAGGCAATAACAAAATTGTTTAGAAAGAGATATACAGGCAGTGGGAAGAAATAAGGGTAGAAGGTGAATCCACATTTACCAAAGACAGAGGAAAAGTAACCTGTCAGGGAGACTTAGAAGGAGCAGCTGGAGGGGAAGAGGAGTACCACTGAGCTCAGCGTCACAGATCACCAAGGAAGGAGGAGGAACAGCTTTCTACACCAAGATGCCAAGTTAGATAAGACATGAAATATGACCATAGCCTGTTAGGTCACTGGAGCCCAATCTGGAGCAGTTTCGCTACAGTGGTGGGGACAGAGACCAGGTCATAGAGTGAGTGGGGTACAGAGTAGGATGAAAAAAGCCTTGAGCATGAAAGGAAGGAGAAAGAGAATTCTAGACAAGGAAGATATCAGATCATGTAATGTAAGATTTTTTTTGTATAGTTGTTAGAAGAGATATGAGCATGTCTGTGTGCTGAGGGAAAAGAGCCAGGAGAGGATAAGTTGAGACCTAGAGGAGAGAGTAAATAATTGATGAAACAGGGCTTGGGGTGGGGCTGGAGTCCAGAGTTCAGGCAGAGGGATTCCCTGGGACAGGACAGCAGAGAGCCATTTTTCCCATTAAGAATTGGGAGAGGAAAAATGGCTATTGTATTCATTAGCATAGGCTAACCTGCTATAAAAATAAATCTTAGCTTGTAATGACTCAAAAATAAAGTTTATTTCTCACTTACATCATTTTTAGGGCAGTTTTTAAAGACAGGCAGGCAGCTACTTCCCATGCAGTTATTTAAGGAACAAAGCTGATGGCAGCTCTGCCATCTTTAACACATGGTTTTCATATCATCAAACAGCCTGCCAGAAGGGGAAAGATCACGGTGATGTGCACGTGAAACATTTTTACAGACCAGGCATGGAAGTGGTAGACAATACTAATGCTCAAATTCCAGTGGCAAAAAATTTCATCACATGATACACCTAACTGCAAGGGAGGTTGTGAAATGTAGTGGAGTTGTGAGCCCAGGAGGAAGGAAGGAATAGATTCTAGT